TGACTTTCTTCTTAGTCATCTCAGGTTTAGTTGCTACACAATTGCGAGAGTAGATTAAAGGATTTTTTTTTTGTAAACAGATAAGCTCTGACTTTAAAAAGAAAAAAAAGAAAACAACTGTACCCTACTTTATGATAAAGCACCAAGTGGAAAACACCTTGTTCTTATTCAAAATGTTGAATGCTAATGTCATTTGTATTGAGTGTTTTTTTAGATTCAAAATGAGATGAGGAAGGAAATGACCTTCTTTTTGGTCTTTACTTTAAATACAGATTAATTCATGTAGCTCAGCACATAATCCCTAGCTTTTTTGTTTGTTTTGTACAGAGTCTCTTTATGTAGTGTGGGCTGTTCTTGTATTCCTGATGTAGCCCAGTCTGGCCTTGAACCCGAAATCCTTCTGGCTTGATCTAAGTGCTAGGATTACAGGCATGTGGCTGCCACCACATTCAGCAAGCAGTATTTAATGACAGATTGGACTGATTTTTCATCTGAATGGGAAAATATAAATTCATATTTCTTAATTTCTTAGTGAGTAATACATAGGGATTGAAACTTAGGACCCTTCATTCTATTTTTTATTTTAATTTTTTGGAAATAATTTTAGATATCAAAAAGTTGCTAAAAGTAGTATGCAGAATTCCCATAAACTGACACCCAGCTTTGCCTAGTGTTCATATCTTATATAGACCTGTACAAATAATAGAAATCAGGAAATTAATACTAATCTATAAATTTTTTGAAATTTTCTACATTGTCTTCTGAATGATTTTTTTTCTGATCTAGTATTAATCCAAGATCTCCTGTTGTACTAAGTCGTTATGTCTCTTGCATTTGAGGCCAGTTCTTTATTTGCCTTTCATGACTTTGACACTTTTGAAGGGCACTAACTAGTTAGGTTGGCCCCTCGCTTCGTGTTTGTCTCATATTTTCTCCTGGTCAGGTTGACAACGTGCATTTTTGGCAGAATACCACACAAATAATGGTTTGACCTTATCTGTGCTTTATATTAGCCAGGTACGTACTGTTGATTTGCCTTTAGCTGGTGTCATCTTGATCATTTGTTTTAGGTACTTACTGTTTTTTCTGAACTATCAGATTACAGTTTTTTTCTTTGTAATTAATAAGTGTCTTGTAGGGGGAGAGATTTTCAATGTAAATATTCTGTTTTCTCATGTACTTCTATCTAATTTTAGCATCCATTCTTGCTTGACCATTCTAGCCTTTTAAAGTTAATTCTTTAGCATCTTTTTGTTTTGTTATTGACTATATGCCATTTTTCTTGTCACAAATGGATAAAGCTTTCAAAGGATGTAAAGGTAGCCTAATTCGTAAAACATAAATATATTTCTTGCTATAGTCTTTTATGTTCACTTATTTCTGAGTGCATTTGTGAATGTAGCACAATCCAAGATCCTGGAATAAAGAAAATACTAAAGGGCCGGGGATTTAGCTCAGTGGTTCTGCCGCCTGCCTCGCAAGCGCAAGGATCTGAGTTTGATCCCTGGTACCAAAAAAAGAAAATACTAAAAATACAACCCTTTCTTTTAAAATAACATACATACTTCAGACTCTGCTGACCATCGTAAGAACAAAGCCAAAAATTTCATATTAGAGAAGTAAACAGGCAAAGAAGATATTACAGAGGTAAAATGTAATGAATAAGCTAATAATGAAAAAAATACTGTATTGTCAATAAATTACAGATTTTCTTAAAATTGCTTTCACTAATTATTTCTTTTTGTCAAATATATAAACATTTTTGTTCAGAAGAGTCAGACAATTTTACGCATTTTTGTGCTTCATTGTCTTGACTCTGAGGTTGCAGTTTTATCCATTTTTGCAGTTGATAATAATTTATGGAGGTATATTTTAGTTAATGCTTTTATCTTCTGTAATGTATTAACTGCTCTAAAAATGTATTCCATTGTGAATTCTTTTTCATCTGTTCTACTTCATTGTTTACCTTGGTCGATGGAATATGAGGACACGTTTGTCTTAGTTATTTGCTGCTTATCTTTTTTTTTTTTTTTTTTTGCTGCTTATCTTTTAACAAAGCTTGACTTTTAAATCTAGTACAGTAACTTGAATCCCAGTAACATTTTTGGATAGTATCTTTTCCAAAAAGAGGAGAAAATATATTTATAATGGAATTTGATTAGATATTGAGCCTTTAAAACATTCTACTAGTTAGGTTTTCCATTTTCTCTACAACTTCTCTTTTAGGAAATTATTTTCCATGATTAAATACATATCATAATGTTGTCAGTTTCTTAAGTTCCACGGTTTTTAAAGGTGTATCCCATTTGAAAATACATACAAGATTTGTAGTTTTCGCCTGCCTTGCAAGCGCAAGGTTCTGAGTTCAATCCTTGGTACAAACAAACAAAAAAAAATTTTGGTAGTTTTAAAACCTTTTTTCTACAGAGTCAATGTAAAATACAACAACACCTTGGCTATTTCTAAGGCAACTGCATTTGTTCGAGGAAAAAATTCTGTACTTTTTGAAATTGAAAATTTGGAGTTGTTATGGCAATAATCTGACTTGATGACACTTTTAAGTCTCTGAAAAGAACCCTAGAACATCTATGGTAGGTGTTACGATTTGACTTTCAATGTATTATCTCTGGATAATACCTTTGAAATTTCTGTTGACTACATTAAAAAATTAATCATAGAAGTGATAATCTCCAAAAAAAGATAGTAAAATATTTACTGAATTGTCTACTCATTGTGCCAAGCACTTTTCTTGGGGCTGGAGATATACAAAGACGGCTTTTGTTAAAAGTATTCCTTCCTTTTCTTCTTACTGTTTAGAGGAATTTGTGAAAGAATTGGTTTTATACAAATGTCTTAGAACTGGTGAGAATGAGTGATAAAAGATAAGAAAAAGATGTTACATCCTGCTTCAAACTCATGTAGAATGTCATGTTTTCTGAGTAATCCATACATTTATAAACTAGCAAGGTTAACCCTAGATCAGTTAAAACACAAGTGAATTGAAATCATGGTCTTTGCAGAATGGTTACATCTCATTTCATTGCTTCGAAGTAGGTATAGCCTTCCCTTTTTCTTTGGTGTTAGAAAAAACTAGTAAGTTATTTGTGCTCATTTTAATAATTTAGCATTGAGAACAAATATTGCAAGTAGTCTAATTTGATATCTCAATTTCTCAGTGGTATTAATGCTTAGTTTTATTGTTTCTGATTTGAGTATAACTGGGTGTTCAGTAAGATCTTAAAAAATTTGTATTTATAGAAAATGTTAAAATGGTTTTATTGTAGTGGTAGATTAATAAATTTGAAACACTCATTTGAAGGAGCATCTCAGCATTACTGATTTGTTAGGTTTGATTTGAAGTGTATTCTCCAACAGCATGTTAGTCCTGCAGTAGAATGCTTGCTTTTTTTCCTTTTAAAATACCACAGGGAAGAATGCTGTTCATTAAAATAGAATTTGATAAGGTCCTGTTATATCATTCTTATGCGCCTCTGTCAATGGTATTCTCACAAAGGCTGCTCTTGTAATGACCACATTTTGAAAGTGCCTGTATGTTTTTCCTGTATAAATGATAACATTTTCATATCTAGGGTCTTGGCAAATTATTAACTCTTGAAGCAAGAGAAATACTACCTTTCCCCAGTGATCTCAAAATAATACTTAGAGAAGTCTGTGTTTATTCATTTCTGAGTAATGAGTATGTTGAAGTTTTGATAATTAAGACAAAATAAAGATATAATCCAAAAATGATCTGATGTGGGAGACATTTATAAAAGGATCATATCTCCAGTGTACTCTCCTGTTTAACATACCCCTTTGGATTTTTTTTTTTAGAGTGGTTGTATTTTTTAAACATATATTGTTAGGGTGTGATAAGTAAATAAAGGGTTTGGAGGTGTAAAATGTGAAGTTCATGCTGATAGAGAAGATATAAGGTTAGTTCAGTATTAATCTGTACAAGATAGGATTTCTTGGGAGTTCTTTTTCATCTTCAAAGTGAAGTGTGTTTGTGAACTTTGAAAAAAAGTCACTGGGTGTGTTTTCTATTTCAAAATGGACTTTTCCTTTTTGCTTCTTCACTCAGCTATATGTTATTGATATTAAGAATTGGAGTAAAACTGGAAAGTTGGGAAAATCATATCTTGTTTCTAATTTCTGCATAGGTTTTTAGCTATCTTAATCACTGAAGTTAAGTTTGACTTAGATATCATTAATTTGGAAATCTTAAGTAATTATTATGGTTTATATTGAAATATACGTGAAAAGGAATGGTTTATCAAGAAAATTGATTATAAGGGACTAGAAGGTGATTCTTTAATAATTTAAAAAATATTGTTGTAGCAGGTATTTTTATGTAGGGAAAAAGAAATATATGTAAGATACCTCTGATGTTCTAGTTTTAAGCATTTCTTACCTGTAAAGGAGCCATCCCCAAAGAATTGCTATGGAATACTTTGCTAATCTCTTTGGAGGTTTTGGATTCTTAGAACTATCTAATTAGAAAACATTTCTTGGGATATTCAGTATTCAAATCTTTTTTTCTAATTTTTGCTTTTTCCTCTTGTCATCCCTCATCTGTCTCCTCAGTGTGATAGATAAAACTCTAAAATACTTTTTAAACCTGCTGATATAAAAATTCAGTCTCTTCAAAATGAAAGGCTTTTTAGAACTTTAAATGTGTTGGAAAGTTTAAATGAAAAAAGAGCTGCCACTTAAACTCATGAAGTACTTTCATAGGTGCTTATTTGATACTTCTTGCCTAGAAGGCAGTTATACCTTCTTAGATTCCTTTTTTATTTCTTTTAATTTTTGGAAATTACAGATTTGATAATTTAAATTCAAAGATTTTCTTTTCTTGGGCCAAACTGTTTTCAGTTCTTGTTTGTACAGAGTTGGAAATGTTTCTAAGCAGAACGGTTAGCTCATTCTTTTCATCTTTAGGCTTTTAAAAAGTTTAGTGTAAATGTTGTCAGGTAATGGAATTAACCGTTCCTTTTCAGCTTTGGATATATTTCCAAACTGACTGCCAGAGCCAGGAGGAAGTGAAAGCATTAAAACACTAACTTTGGTTGGTTGCTACTTACTTAGTGCTGAGACTATAACCTTTGTTGGTTGGTTGATAGAGAACAAGAGCACAATCCTCGTTCCACTACAGGTAAGGAAACCTTGTGATAACCAGTTGGTGTGAATGGGAGATTATGTGGTAGTATTTTTTTCTTAATTTATCACAAAATATAACATGTCCCAGAAATAAGACATAGGGGATTTACCTGTTCCACTGTGACTGACTTACTCCATAGAGCAGGGGTATGCAGCACCTTTATATTTAGAATAAGATCTGAAATTTAATGGAGGTATATCACTCTGGACCACAAAGAATAATTGATCCTTTTTCCAGAGGCAGCATTTAAGATTTATCCAGCAGTCCCTTTAACTTTAAATACATATCTGCTTATCTTATTCTCCTTTCAGCTTTTCCTTGATGCTATATGCTTTGAACTTCTTTCTCTCTGTTTACCTTTTCCTATAATAAAGCTAACTATTTTCCTGTCTTTACCATCATCTATTATTTGGGTATATCTTACAGCTTTAATTTCTACATTGTAGCCATTATTGATTATTTCTAGTCCATCTTGACCCAGAAAAAAATGATCAGCATTTTAAAAAGATTTTGAATCTATATTACCTGTATCTACTATTCTGCCCTCCCAGTTGTAAAGATAAATGCTTGAAGAATAGACCTTTTTCAGTGACAGTAGTCATTGCTTTGATAAAACTTGGGTTTAGCCTTGTATTGCTATAATATTGGCCTGTAGTATGTTTAATTCTGTAAATTACTGAACCCTTGAAAACTGATAACAAATTCAGCTTCTGAGGCATTCCAAAAGTTTAGTGGTATCCCTGTTAATATGCTTGATTATTCTGTTTCTACTTTTTCAATCCATCTTCTTGTCTTTGGCAGAAGAATTAACTGGGACTCCTTTGATATATCTGAGGTTGAGTGCCTTTTCCCTGTCATTTTAAGACAACTAGTCATAACTCATAATTTTTTTTTTTTTTTGGCTTTGGTCTTCCACTTGAAGTTGTGTGGTTTGTCACAGAGTGTGTTATGGCTTAGATACAGGTCTCTTCTTAATAGTTACTGAGGAATTAATCATTTGTGACAGACTTATAAAATTCAAATTAAGAAGGTGGTAAAGTATGTCCAAAGATAGCTCCTTTTTGTCCTGAGGATAAGCCATTACAAACTCAAATGACCAGAGAATGTAATTTCTTAATAAGAATTTTTTCTTAAATCTATATTCAGCTCTATTTCAGTGCTTCTCTCCTACCAGAGGTGCAAGGAGTGATCCTAGAACCACAGATACAGCCAAGACCACGGAGAGCTTTTGACGTCAGGGGTCCACTTTCTCCACTGAACCCTTGGAGACAGAATATCCAGCTTCTGGAGAGAGAGGGAAAGGATAATAAACAAGTGGGTGCTTTCCATTATTTACTTGGGTTTATTTTTAGGTTGGAGTGTCCTTCCATTACCCATTTTATTCTATTGGTAAACTCCGTGGGTTCATGTAAGAACCAGGTGGGGCCACAATCTCTTTTGTTTTTTTGAGAGTGCTAACTAGTGCCCATTCAAAAACAAAACAAACAAAAATCCCATAAATTTTATTTAATTTTCTCTCCAGATAACTAAAGGATGATTTGGGGCACATGATTTGGTGGATATGTGTGTAGTCCACAGAAATTTTAAAAGGGAGTATTTATCCATTTGGCCTTTATGGTAATAGTGGACTTCTAAGTGCTCTCATACATTCTCATAATTTAAAAGTTTTTGTATTTCATCTTTGCCAAGATGGACATCTAAAATCTCTTTAATTTATATAGTAGATGTCCAGGTGTTACCCTACCCTATTAGTGAGAACTTTTTGGTCTTTTTCCTACCTCAAATATTAGGCTTTCATACTAGATGTTCTAGAAGATACAATGATAGTAGTATTGTTATGGTTTTACTGTCAAATCTAGGCTTCATTCTTTAATAAAATCAATATAAATGAGTATAAGTTTCAGGATATAATATCCTTGAAAGCTATGTTTAATATACTCAAAAGAAGTTTTCTAGTCCTAGGAATAGTATTATTTGTGGCAAAATAGCCCTTTGCTGGATTTTTCCCATGGCATTAAGATAGTTTTCTCTTAGTTTCTTTGATGCCAAGGGTAGGATTTGATTCCAGGAAGTTCTTATCATCTACAATGGGTAGGATGTGAACTTTGGTGCCTTTGGCAAGTTTTCATTTTTCCTTGGTGGATTCCTTCTGTGACTCCAGGTGTCTTGATAATGGGAGACCGGTTTAATTGTTCTCTAATTGCCCAGATTTCTTTCAACTGGTAAAACATCATACTTCTTCAGCAAAAGGAATTCTTCTAGCAGAGCCTTCATGGATGATATCTGTCACACATGCCAGCATCTGCAGTTTGGAAGGCAGTGGTGAATGGATCCATGCAATATGTATAGAAGACACAAGGATGAGCCAGCCACCTGATCTTGTTATTTATAAACTTTTAAGATTTACTCTTGGTCTGAAAATGGAAAGGCTCAAATAATGAAATAATCTTTTCAGATTGGAATTTCATGGCCATGAAAACATTCCTTTCTATTCAGAAGACTGAAATAGAGGAAGCTTGAGAGACTCCTTTCTTTTAAAGCAGCTCTCTGTATCTGTTTCACTTAAAAGATTTCTGGGACTGAAAATCACCTTAATAAAGTAGTAGGTAAACTTTTTTTTGGAAAAGTACTATAGGAAATCCAAAAAATTATTAATGGTTTTTTTCTTTTTTCTTTTTTTGGTTACCTGATGCTGAAAGGAGCTAGTGAATAAAGGGTGATTTTTAAAGTTATTTAAGACTTTTAATATTAAGATACACTCCTTTATCTTTTGCTGCTCTTGAACCTTACTATAATCAGAATCAACAAAGACTGTAGGGTAGAAGTAGAAGAGACATCTTTGAAATTAAGTAATTTTATCTGTCTTCTACATGAATAAATACCTGTTAAACTTGAGGTATTGTTCTGCACAGAAAGCATACTAAAGTTTAAGTGATACTAACACAGAATAGTAATTTACAGGGCAAAGGCAATTTGTAGTATTAGAATAGGCCTGTCTTTGAGTAAGTGTTGCAAGCTAGTTTTATCCAAACTTTCAATTAATGATAAAAAGCAGTTATCAGAATGTTTGTTTCTTTATTTGGTATCTATTAATTGGTCAGTCCAAAGCTATTAAAGAAATTTTAAAAAAATCATTAGGTGCTGTCATTTTGTGATATTTTGTACAAATTTTAAGAGAAATTCTAGAGTTTCTAATATGGAAAAGCTAAAGTGTTTTAGAAATGCCAAACATTTTAGAAGCCACATTTGCTTAAATATAACCTGGCCTTTAGCTTTCCTTGGCTTATGATGAGAAGTGTTTTTTTTCTCATTGATTATAGATAAATTTTTGTAAATATTGTACTTAAAACTAAGTTTAAAAGATCAGTTGGAATTAAAATTTCCCCAGAGAGCTCTGAATTTTCATTAATGATGATAACTTTATTTGACTTGTTTTTGTTAATACAGTTTGCAAACACATGTGTACTAAAAAAAAAAAAAAAAAACTACCTAAGATTTTAGAAGGAACTCAGAGAATTGAAAGTGAAATTTGCTTAGAAATTTAGCTAGTTGAATTTTTGAACTGTGGTTCAGTACAAACCATTTTATGGCCTGTAACGTTATTAGCTTTTTGATTTAGCTTTGAAGATGAAGGTGATTTAGTTTCTTAATTAAATTTTAGCTCTGTTCGTTAAAGTGTGCAAAAGAAATGTAAGTGCATTTCTCTTTACCTCATGCCACTGCAAACTATTTAAAAGTGAAACTTTTTGTATATTAATGTGAACTGATTTGTTTAAACTTTTATTTTGATGCATTTTCCTTTCAGATTTTTAAAAATAATTTTGTCACAATATACAGCCCTATATTTTTCAGTGTTTATTTTATGAATATTAATATAAGCTAATTTTTCTAGAATGACTAATTGTGTAATATTTGTATTATGTGATCATTTGAAAACTAATAAATATTTTCTCCATTAAAAATGTACTTACTGATAAATGACTTATTTCTGTTTCAGGAGTAGCAAGTGAAAACTGCAACAATATTTAAATGTATTTTAATTTTATGTGTCTTTCTTCAAAGTGTTTCTGAATATACTATTCTGTTTTTAGTTAAAAAAAACTTTAATAATTAACTTAATTGAGTTGATACTGTAAGTATCAGTAGTAATTTGGTCAAATATTTTGAGGCTAGAGTGATCAAAATATAACCCCTTACAAAATAGCATGCGGTCTCTCTATTCAAAGCAAGAACATTTGGAAATAATGCTGATTGGAGAACTACTCAATTCTAAAGTTTTGTTGCCAAGAGAAAAGTGTTTTATATATTAATGTTCTGCTGGAACAAATAACTGTAAAAGGGGTAATTTTGACTTCAGAGTCTCTTGCTTCGACCTTATGAAGACAGCATGGAAAAGAGTAAAATTTGATTTTAATGATTTTTATCAATATGATTGCTTAAACTTACCTAATTAAAGCCACTGGAACAATTTACCCTTTTTTGATAGAAGCAAGAAGATTTCTTTTTGGAATTGAAGAAAAGTTATACAAGAATTGGGCTTCAAAAATTTAAAGTAAATATTAAGATGGAGTCCTACACAAAGAATAAAAATTGAATTAATGACAATCTATGGATTAAAATGAAATAGTTTGGTTCTTAAACTGTAGTCTAAGAAAAGACAATTATAAAAGAAAATTATGATTTCGGATAGCTACTGTAATGGAGAACAGGGAAAGCATACTCAAAAGTTTTGACAATTAATCTGGTAAGTTTATAAAAGATGAGTTAAAGAGTCTGTGGACAAGATTTTATATTTGGAGTTGAAGCTATTAAAAGATTTACAGATAATGCACTTCAGTAGGAGACTGTATTTTATGTGAATACAAAAAATTTATAAGCCTTTCCTGTGTATATACAAAAGGATAGGGTTGGGGGTGAAAAATATGCTTCTTCAGAACCTTCAAAAGTATTGCAACAGTAATGGTGAAGTGAGTTTTAAATAAGGAATATTTCTTACATGAACTCTTTCCTACACCAACAATAGCCTTCAAAATAAAAATATTGCAGAATGTTGAACTTGGCTTACAATTGTATCTTCAAGATTTAAGAACATAAGCTTATGGCTTAACCATTATTGATTAGATTACAGTATAACAATCTGTTTGGATTGTTATTAGTGTGAAAACAAAAGCCCCCTCCTGCCTTTTGGTAGCTTCTGCTTTAAAAAGTCACAAGCAAGGTAACTGCAAAGTACTGACCTGATAGCTTAAATATGTGGACAAGTCTTATTTTCCTTTGTTATACTGAAACAGTTGAGAAGTCAGTGCTTAGATGTTCTAAGCAATTCTTTTATTTTTATTTTTTGTTTTTTTGGTTTTCTGTTAAAAAGATTTCATATTAACATAGTCCTAAAACCTGAACAATTTATGTTTCAAAAATAAGTACCTAGCTGCTCTGGAGTTTTTAAAAATTTCACTAGTATACACACCTAAGGAAAAAATGTTAGGGAACTTTGAAGTATGCATCGGAATTTTCAGAAATTATGATCAAGGGATCTCTGCTCAAGAGGTAAGGTATGGCATAGGTAGAAAAGTGTTCAAAGTATGCTCAACATAATGTCTGATGACAAAGTAAATGAAAACAAGCTTGTATTTTTAGATAGATGTAGAATTATAAAAATAATTTTTGAAAAACTTTTAGAGAATAGACACAGACAAACCACAAATATGTTTTTGCCTGAGTTTGGAGTGCATTTAGAAACATTTATAGGCATTGTATGTTTTGTATGTACATAGCCTTCAGTATTACAAGGCATCTTCTGCCTTGGCTTTCTTAAAGAGTTTATGATCTATATTTAATTTAGTGAGCACTAAAATATTGTACTTTGCATGAAAAGCTGAGTATATATTTTATAAGATTATTGCCTGGATTCATTTTGGCTGTGTATACCTGTTTTTATTAAATGATATCTGGGACTTAGAAAATAATTTCTTGACTAATTTTTATTTTATATGAGAAACTAGTTTAAGGAATTTTATAGTAGTCACCTACACTAACTTGGGAGTCTTTCATTCCTAACACTAAGAAATAATATTATTGTCTAGTATATATCATTGAAATTAAATGTACTTACTGTTCTCTAAGGAATAATAGGTAGGTTCAAAGAGTATTAGTATAATTCTGAGTATATCTAAAAATAAAGGAAATTACAGCATTGAATATGGATGAAATAGGAAAATACTAGGATTTTTTCCCTAGTATTAAAATTCTAGTATTAATTTATTCAATGTATGGTAACAGAAAACACAATCTTACACGTGTATGAATTCTTTTTAAAAAGAGCTCCAGCTTGTGGACATTTGGCTCGCTCTTAAAGGAATTCGCTCTTTATTCAGTTTTTCCCTTTATGTAAAACAGGATAATAATGTTGGTGTGGATTAGTGATACAGCTCACCATCTATGAGCTACGTGGTTCCATATTCAGGATGGTCTAATGGGACGAAGTTAATCCAGAATTAGCCCCTACGCCTTTTTAAATTGAAATTACCTTAGAAATTATCCATTTTGGTACCCTTATTTTTATGTAGTAGATAATTGATACTTAGAAACATCACACCATTTCTAATTTTACATTATTGATTAATAAATTGTCTATAAGACTCAAGTCTTTTGACTGTTGGTTCAGAAATAGTTGCCACTTTACTACTTTCTCTTGTTTGATATATATATATTTTTTGGTACCAGGGATCGAACTCGGGTCTTTGCGCTTGCGAGGCAAGTGGCAGAAGCACTAAGCCAAATCTCTGGCCCAATTTTACTTTTTTTTTTTTTTTTTTTTTTTGGAACCGGGGATCGGACTCCAGTCCTTGCGCTTGCGCAGCAGGCGGCGAAACCACTGAGCTAAATCCCCGGCCCTACTACTTTCTCTTGTTATACCTAGTTTTGGATGACAGAGCGTATCTGATTTTTTTCAGATATGATAGTATTCAAATAACTTAATTACCCATCAATTCCAAGCTTAGGTTTTTTTCCTCCCACAGATAAAGCATTCCCATGTTCCTATCTCTTACTCATGAAACTTGGTTTAAAACTTTTGTAGATCTTCCCTGAACATACTTGAGTTTCTCATTGTTTTTCTTAGTGTTTTTGTTTTTGAGGTAGGGTCTTGCTTATATAGTTCAGGCTGACCTTGAACTACCTGTATAACAGATTGGGCATGAACTTGAAGCAGTCCTCCTGCCTAAGTCAACTGAGTGCTGGGATTACAGGTGTGTGCCACCATGCCCGGCTCTTACTGTGTGATTCTGAACAGAACAGAGGTGCTCTGCTTGGACTGTTAGAACATATGACTAATATGTTTGTCCATGGACTCCTCATGCCACTCTGCCCTTAGGTATTTATACCTAAGTAGTGTGCCTAGTCTTATGCGTGTTGATATTATTCAGGCAGAGAAATTATGTAGTGATTACACAATATTTTGTTTGTAAAACTCAGTGTAGTAGCCTATGGAAAGGCTATAATGTGCATAACTTAGTAAGAGTAAAGCTGACTCAAGGTAATAACTAAGACCTTGGGAAATTGTAGATAGAAACGTATAATCTATTAAGGTATTTTTGCTTTGCTTATTTAATTCTGATTTAAATACTTGTAAAGTATACTAAATAATATGTATGATAATGTAGTAAGTATATGTATAATATGAAATGCTAGTTTTCAGGCTATCCTAGAAAATTTAAGGACAACTAGGTGTGTTGGAGCCAAACTATCTTTGTTACTGGCATTGAGAAGAATTTCAACTTGTATTTAGTAACAAAATTAGAAATGAAAGACAGTGGTTCAGTGGAAAAATTTGGAAAATAATACCAAACACCAAAAGAGTGAAGAAGTAGCCTTGGATATCTGAGAGTGTGGCCCAGATTCTAGTGCAAATGATAATTTGTGTTGCTTCTTGAAATGTAGTACAGACACTCAACCATAGCACCATTGTTTCAGTGTAATCATTTTTCTTAAATTGTTAAAATGTTCAGCACACCCCCCACCCTCCCAGTCTTAAATTGCCTCCAGGAAGATAAGAGGTGTTTAGTGGTCGAGAGTACTAATGCCCCTGCATGGAAATACTGGTTGACATAGAGTGTGCAATTATCCCTTGTATCAAGGGATTGGATCCAGAATCTCCATGCACACCAAATCCACAGATGCTTAAGTTCTTTCTATAAAAGGAGTCAGAATGCATATGTCCTGCCCACATCCTCGGATTTACTTCATATCATCTCTAGATTCCTTACAATATCAGTGTAAGTTCTGTGTAAATAGTTTCAGTACTGTATTATTTTTAATGACAAGAAAGTTACATAAGTGTTACAGTACAGTTATTTTCTCAGCATTTTCTATCGGAAGTTGGTGAATTGTGGATTCAGAATCCATCGCTATGGAGGGCTATTTCATAATTGAATTAGAATTTTGGGGAAAAGAAACATTTACATGCCTGCTGTGTGCACATTTGCTTGGTGTTTTACATATTTATCTAACTTA